GAGAGAGGGGCAGCCAGGACGGGCGGAGGAGGCCCCCGGTTTGCCTTGGCCGCCACACAGCCCCAGGCCCGAGCGAGGAGGCTGCGCTGCAGTTAAAAGCTCCGCGCTGGGGCTGAGCTTGTCGGCGGGTATTTGGGTTTGCTGCGTAGGGCAGGGGTGAAGGTGTGTCAGTGTAAGCAAAGCGCTGGTCAGCGGTGGAGTCTTTAGTAATAAGCTGGAGATCATTTTGTTCTTCTGTGGGTAGGTGCTAAATAGATAGTGGTTTCTAATGTCCATAGGGAAAGTTTGAATGGGGTTATGCTTTCCACCCCGACAGACCTTGAGACAAACTCTACTAACGGAAAAGATTTGAAATGTCTTTTTTTTTTTTTAGCTACTTAATATGCTACTTAAATGTATGGCGGCACATGATCAGAAAAAAGTGCTGTTGGTGTTAGTGTAATAGCTGTGTGTGGCTGCATGTCACTGTCTGGTGATCACAGTCAGAGGCTGAGACTATTTTTTTTTCCCCAACTTCTTTTTCCAAAGAAATATCAAGGATAAAATATGATTTAAAGCAATATACTATAGCACAAATGTCTTGATAAAACTTTTTGAAGCTACTTGTACAGAAATTGCTGTGGAGGTGCCTGGGAGTTTTAGGAATTACGTATCCCTGACTTCAGTTTTTTATGTAGATTTGTGTTTCAAAGCCTTGAGGACATATGTCATTGAATCTGGTTGTCTCTGAAAGTCAGAAGGGTATTGCTTGGCTTACATGTTTACCTCAGCATAAAATAATGTAGTCAGTAAGCAGAGCGAGTGAAAACTGGTGGAAGCACACACAAAAACAAGCAGCACGTGGTGTTTTGTAGGTACAAAACCTGCTCTAGCAGATCAAGTTCAAGGAGACCTTACCCAAGTACATGATCCTTCATTGTGATTCTCTTGCTCGAGGTCTTCTAGGTTTAGGTCTGTGGAAGCAAAAAAGCTAACTAATGTTTTAGTGTATTGGCTCCTGTTCTGATTATTGCTACAGTTATTCGACTTTCTCAGTGGAAACTGATAAATTATTTCAAATAGAGGAACGATACCTAATGAAAAGGAACTTCAATTCCAGCAGTAAGCTGTTAAAGTCATTCTGCGTACTTCCTCTGTAGGATTTGTCATTTTCCTAGGCTTGTAGTTATTTAATTTTTTTTAAAAAAAAGGGAACTTGGCAAGCTTTAATGCAGAATTCTGTCTTATGACAACTGCATGTGTATCTAATATTGCATATTTAATAGTTATGTAATAATACACCAATAAACGTATTAATGTAAATCCCCTTTGTTGTTAATGCTTGCGAAGTAATAATAGGGAAAAATCGAAAGACTGTTTTTAATCTTGTTTGGGAGCTTTGACTTGCAAAATCATTACATCGCTTTGAATACTGTGATTTTTCTACTGCGGCCAACAAATGCATACTCCAAGTCTTTGTCGCTTCCAAACGATATACTCAGTTCTTGAAAAGTAATTGGCTTCTGTTCGGGATGAGTTCTTGTCCTGTTTCAGGCATATATATTGTAGCTTCTGTGTGTAACTGTTCTTATTTATTTCAGAAATGAGGGTTCATTTACATCAACTTTAAGAACACTTCTGTTCTTCACAGCTCTAATGATCACATTACCTGTTGGGCTGTATTTTTCATCAAAGGCTTACATATTTGAAGGTAATTCTGTTTCTGCCAATTAGTGTACTATTACAAAAAAGAGGAAAAGCACAATCCTGTAATAGCGTCTTTGTTCTCCTTCCTATTCTGAATATTTGTTTCCTTATGCAGACTAAAGCCCTTGTAATATCTAATTAGAAAAGAAAATTATATAAATATTAGATGCATCCTTCCCTGCATAGTGGTCTGCAATCTGATATTTGCTATTTGTTATACTGTGGTTTGTAGAGTATAGAGGTGCATCGTTCCGCTAATCTAAAAGGTATTGAACACCACCCTGCAGCAGACTTTTATCAGAGTCATCAAGGATATGTTTCCTGCAGGTGTTGCAAACTAATTGTGTATTCAGGACAGAATAATGTTATTTACTGGCCTTATTTTTTGCTTTTTAAAACATACCTGCATTTGTAAGTGTAAATCAGTGAAGTCACATACCCAGTTTCAGGTATTGAATGTGGTTGCTTGTAGAACTTTCTTTTTAATTACAAAAAAAAAAGGGAAATAATTTAGCTGTTTGTTTGGAGAAGTTCTGTCAAACTGCTAACAACCAGCCGTGTTCTAGCCTTGATTCTGCAAGGCTTTGAAACTCTTCTCCTGCAGCATTAGGAAGTTATCTCCTTCAAAAGCAGGGAGGAGGGAGGGGGAAAGCAGCTACTTTTAAGAGCAGCTTGTGAATGTGTGACTGAGTTGTTCCAAGATGATTCTCCTTTGGTGTGTACTTCGGGACGTAGTTCTGAAGGCTGAAGCTGAGAGCTTGTTAAGTAACTTTCGGGATCCTCTTTAGCATGATGTATTTTTTTCAGTTGAGGTGTAGCAAGCTGAATTTTAACTTTGCTGTGTCATTCAATGGCAAGACCTGTCAGCACTGATAGGACAGGGTTAGTGTTTGGAGGGTGGTATTTTTGGCGTGGTTTGATGTGATGTGTGGGTTTTTGTTAGGTTACTTTTTTCCTTTGTGTTTTTTTTAAAGGAGTGAAGATAAATGGTATTTGGCCTTCTGATATTTGAAGGCTTATTTCATGTGAGATGCATTCATGTATCTTAACTGATAAGGAATTACAGGTTTATGGTCTGAATATATAAGGTAGAAGTCCTCTAAATGTAATTGTTCTAATGTTTTGTGTGGTTATAGTGGCAAATAAATTTATATAATTATCCCCCTTCCCACCCCCATTTTCATGCCCCACAAAGAAAGTTACACTTACGAAAAAAGGATGTTGAGGTTTATTTGGTGCTGGAAGATAGTAACAGAAAAAGTGAATGAACTCTGAGCTGTTGACTTCAAAACCAGGGTGTTTGATCTTAAATATTGAATAATTGCAGTGTTGCTTTATTCCAGAAATAGTTTCAAGGTCTGTAATTATCATGGTGAATTCTTTCATATGAATCTTTCTGAGCTCAGTTGTTTGTTACAGGAGTAAATGTAACTTTGGTCTTTAGGAAGAATTGTGGTTTGCCATTTCAGTGTTTCCCAATAACTGATATTCTTTACTTTCTTTATTTTCTCAGGTACCTTAGGAATGTCCGACAGAGACAGCTATTTTTATGCTGCCATAGTTGCTGTAGTTACTGTTCATGTGGTACTTGCTCTCTTTGTATACGTAGCATGGAATGAAGGTTCTCGACAATGGCGGGAAGGCAAACAGGACTAGAACGAAGATCATCATCATCTGATACCTACAGACTGTAAATTAAACTTTTGTGAGCTGAATGAAAAGCATTCTTCAAAATGTATAATACACATGTACAAAGATGAGGCTAATACCTCCACTCGGGTTAGAATAAGATTTGTGCTCATCTCGAATGTGTGCCAGTGTTATCTCTAAAGCTGATGGAAGTTGTTCTTTAGCCAGGCTCTACTAGGTCAAGCTGAGGAGGTCTTCACCTAGAATTAGATTGCAATAGTTATGTATTTTTTAAAACATCTGTAGCTATTTTTCCATTCCTGTTTTTTTTCTGGCTTGCTCTGAACATAACATTGGCATAAAGCAAGCATTACATTTTCAAGTAATTAAATTCTTGTTTTAAAAGTTACCTTACTCACTGTCCAAGTACAGTGGAAAAGATGGCATTTCACTTTGCTGTGGATAGTTTCACAATTCATGGGTGTTGTGGTTTAACCCCAGCTGGCAGCTAAGCACCACACAGCTGCTCGGTCACTCCCTGAACAGGTTGAGGGTGAGAAATGGAAGGGTAAAAGTGAAAAAACTTGGGGGTTGAGATAAAGACAGTTTAACAGATAAAGCAAAACAAGGATTTTATTCAGGGCTTCCCATCAGCAGGCAGGTGTTCAGCCATTGGCAGGAAAGCAGGGCTTCCTCATGCCTAATGATTACTTGGGAAGACAAATGCCCTTGCTCTGAGCGTGTGCACCCGCTTCCTTCTTCTTCCCCCAGCTTTACATGCTGAGCATGATGTCGTATGGTATGGAATACCCCTTCGGTCAGCCGGGGTCAGCTGTCCCAGCGTTGTACCCTCCCAACTTCTTGTGCACCCCCAGCCTCCTCGCTAATGAGGTGGAGTGAGAAGCTGGAAAGGCCTTGACCCTGTGTAAGCACTACTCAGCAACAACTGAAACACCTGTGTGTTCCCAGCACGAATCCCAAACACAGCCCCACACTAGCTACTATGAAGAAAATTAACTATCCCAGCCAAAACCAGCACAGTGGGACAGCTAAATAATTTATTTCTGAGTTTAGAAGTAATTGCAGAAATAGAATTGGTTAGAAACTCAGGTGATGTCTTTCTAATGTGAAATAGAAAGGGTTTTTTATTTTGAAATGTAATTGTTCACTACAGTGTAAAATTCAATCTTTAATTTCCTTTTGGGGTGATTGTCATACTACTGCATTGCTCATATTTCCACTCTTCAAGTTAATCTTGATGATGCAAAAGGAATGGCATAGCATATTTCTTTATATGTCTTCACATTTATGTGTCTCCTTTGTAATTTCTAAAGGATGTAGTTGGATTTCCTGTAGTAAAGTAGTACAAGTAACAGCTGTAAGCCACTCTAATGGCTGGTAGAGGAACAAACAAAAGAAAAGAAGCTGTAGCCATCTGCAAATGTTGTCCTTTGTGAAGCAGAACACAAGACAGATCACATGGAACATGTGCTTCTCTTCATAAATATGAACTTGTACACTGTGAAATGATACAGTAGGTTGATTGTTTTCTTTTTTCCTTGGTTGTGTGTAGAAACTTTCTGTAGTCAAACTGTAGTGTGATTTTTGTGTTGCAGGACAACCTGAATTGAATTTCACTGTTGTGTTGTTGTTAGCGAGCTTTCTAGTCTGTAGATAAAACATTTTTCCTAAGGTTCCAGCAACGCATAGAACTTTCCTGACGCTGGTGATTGCTGCTAAGCTGTTGTGTTTGAAGTGGTTCTGTTAGAGTTTTCCAGTTTGTCGTATTAGTTGAGCGTTTTTTGGAAGTGTTGCTCAATATGGGGCTTGGAATGGGTTTGGTGCTGTGTTTGTCCATGGTAAAACTCGCCCACAGGTGAGACAAAAATCACTTATCCACACCCAGTGACTTGCAGAATGTGTTCCCATGTCTCATTCCTCTCATCTTCACCCCCGTCCCAGATGTGTGCAGTCATGTACATTGTGTCACACTAATGCAAATCAATTTTTACATTTTGTTTCTGAAACTTTAACTTTTCTCATCCAGAAGCTCATTGCCAGGTTGCTGCCAGCAAACTGGAGAACGGTCTCATAGTAATTTGAAAGACAAACTTAGTTTGTACGTTGACATATTGGCTTCCTGTTCTTCAGCATATGAATGGTGCATTGTGGAATAAATAACTGCCTTTTAATAAAAAAGTACCCCGCAATACAAGTTCCAGTAAACAAGCACTTTTGCTGAACAGTTTTTGAATAATCTAATACTGCTCATGTATAGCACAGCTTACAACAAATAGATCAGCTATAGCAGTAGCTTTGTTTTTTAATTCCGTTTATACTAGAGAATAAATGTGAACGTAGCTGTCATGCTTTACTAGCTGGGTCTTGTGTTATGTCTATTTTGTGTTTCATGTACCAAGATCCCTTGACACCAAGTTAATTTCCTAGGAATAATAGGGAAATAGAAGTACAGGCACTGAAGTGTCCCAGCAGTTGGGGGCGACAAGCTGAGCATTAATCCTTCCATTGGAAGATCTTTGAAGATAATGCTGTGACCCACAATGTTCTCCTTGAGAAAAGAGCCATGTGCTGGGTTTCATGTTGCCCATGCTTGGAAGCTGAAACAACCACTCAGGTAAGTGGTGCAATGAAAACAGTTAAGTGGTGGAATTACACCATGACTAGGGAGGCCAAAGAATGGTAACTGCAGCCATACAATGTAGAGTGTACATGGAGTAGATACCTACTGGGACTCCTGTTGTGCCTTACCAATACTAAGATTTACTAGTTTTCAGGAGCTTTGCTGTGTTCTCTTCAGGTTGAGTGTTTCCTTTCGTGTATCTGATGTTCCTGTTAACATCAAAGCTAATTCTCATGGCAATTTTTAATTGTTTAAAGGCCATTGTGATTCTTCTAGGGTTTAAATAAGACTGTACAAATATGGAAACTGATCAGTGTTGTGGAGTGATCAATATTCTTGTTGCTTTGTATTTTTATTTTCTATAAAATGGTGATGTGTTAAAGTGGTACTGTAAGTTTGTTCATTTTATTACTAGGAAAGGATTTGAAACAACTGTTGGTGAAAAGGCAAAATTGGGAAAACTTGGTCTGCATAAGCCATCCAGTACTTCAGAATTGCCTCACTTAGTGGTCCATCATGTGTTTTTATAGGTTGACAATTAGGCAGTTTAGCTCAAGCAAGCAATTGTATCTTGCACAGAGCAAATACCTTGAGACCGAGGTTGTAGCAGAAGCTTTCTGGAATGTTTTCCAAGACTATAGATAGTAAAGGCAGTGGGGGAACTGGGAAGCGGAAAATCAGTGACTTCTCAAAATCCATTTAGTTTTCTTCTTCTGTACTTCTTATCTCTGGGTTTTTAAATGCCCACAGAACATTGTGGTGGGTACTCAGCCTATGAAAGTGTGTAGGTGATGAGCTTTGGTTTGTGGTTGAGGATGCCTGACTTAATTCGCCTGTGAACTGCTAACACTGCATAGGGAGTAGCCAGAGAAAATGGTGATGTTAGTGATCATGTTGTTAACAGGAATTGTTTGTCATACCCTAACATTGATAAATGTACATGAACTTTAAACAAGTTTTACATATACTTGAAACAAAACAGAATACTATCTACCTTTTTTTGTGATGTAAGAGAGTACCTAGTAATAACTCTCACTTAACTTTAAAAAAAAAAAGCCCAAACAAAAAGCCACACAAAAAATCCAAATAGACCGACGCCCCAAACCCCTCAACCTGCTGTGTAATTTTCACAGTGATGGTTGTTGGACACTAGCAAACTGATCCAAAGTTAAAGACGTAGTTTTGCCTCGCTGCTAATGCAGCATGACCTACTAGAGGGCAGGCTTTTCTACCCGATTGCCCTGATGGGAGAGGGGACCTTGTGCTGACCAGAAAATGGTGTTCTCACCTAGTGCGTTGGTGAACAGTAAAATTATTGATGTTATTGCAATTTTGACTGCTTTTTTTGACTGGTTTTAGACTGCTGCACAGTTACTGTAGTTAAATAAGCTGTGCTTAGGCTTCTGATAGCCCACGCAGTTAGGGTGTGCTTGAAGCCTCCAGGCAGGGGTTTTGTTGGTAACAGTTCAGATGAGTAAGAGATTGGAAAGGAGAGGGTCCTTAAAATAGTGAACTAAGCCATACTTCTGTTATTACAAAATAACATAATATGGGTGTGACGGAAATTTAGGTAGGCTGCAACCGGTGGGACCAGGGGAGGAAGGGGTCGTGTTAAGCAAAGGAGTGACTTGGGGAGCTGAGGTGGATATGGGGTAGGGTGAGGACTGGAATGCACTGGCACAGCTTGCTGTGTTATGGCTGAGGCACCGTATGTTTTTGTTCAGAAGTGTTTATTCCACTGTTCTCCAGGGGATTATGCAGAGCCATTGATCTGAAATATTAAATGTAAATCATACCAAATAGCAAGCCAATTCCATTTTAACTTCCAATTAAAGTTGTTTGTAGGTTGAGAGCTTTGCAGCGTGTTATCTGGGGCATGTTTATTCATCTTTGTCTTGTACAAACTAGCATTGTTACTGGCTCTGAGGCATTTCTTAGAGCAGGGTCAAGCCCTTGGAGAGTAAATGTTTTGTTAAAAATACCAAAGAGCAACTGCCACTCTTAATGTTGCGTTAGCTCTGATCAGCTGTCAGTTTAAGCTCCTTGCTTCAAGTTCATGGGAAGCTGCTTGCTGATTCCTTGCAAGGGGAGGCTCTCTTGTGCTGAATGGGGCTTGCAACATGGAAACTGTGTAGTTTGGGGCCAGCACAGTGATTCTCTTACTTGAGGACATACTAATGTCTGAGTCTGTGAGATGGTGGGATACAGCTTGAGTCTCTTTGTTAGGAGAACTGAATCAGTGTTGTGTAACAATGCTAAGGTATCGTTGAAGACAAGAGATGCAAGGAAGCTCTTGGGACTTGAATACTGTTTGAACTTAAAATGGTAAGAAAAAGTATGGAGGAAGTGAATGGAGACTTTTGTAGAAAGCAACTTTTTTAGTTGCTGGTCTATCAGTTTGCACTCAGAAACCAAGAGACAGAGTCGCTCACCAGTGGTGGTCGTGTTTGTGAAGGCAGGGATACTGACTGGGAAGCTTTGTGGTGGAGGATGACTAGGGAGCAGAGCTTAGAAAGTCAAGGAGTTA